AACCCTACACCGCAAACCCTAAATCCTAAAGCCTAAATCCTGAGTCCGTAAACCCTAAATGCTAAAATCGCAACTCTAAACCCTATACTCATTTTAAATCCTGGACCCTAAACCCTAAATTGTAGACCCTAAGCCCTAAATCCTAAGTCCTAAACCCTGAAATCCTTAAACCTCTAGACCCTAAACCAGAATCCTAAATTCTATATAACACCATTATGGTAGTTTCCATTTTCAATTCCTTTCCACTATCTCTATATTTCTTTCCCACTATCCCTATATAACCTCTATAAACCCTGAACCCAAACGTCTTTCTGAGGCCCCTTCAAGCTCAGGCTCGGCTTCAGACCTTTGGCAAGGACATTCGTTGGAAGTGCGTTTAGGGTTTAAGACGTAGGGTTTTAGGTGTAGGATGTAGGGCTTAGGGTTTCGGATTTAGGGTTTAGAATCTAAAAAAACTTTGGGAGATCCTGTTGACTTGACTGCTGGAGGTTCAGGGTAATCTTTAGGCCTCAGGGGTTAGGGTTAAGGGTCCTCTAACCCAAGCATAACTGTACTTATACGCAGGCTCAGGCTCAAAGTGTCCCCTAAGATGAGCCATAATCTAAACTCCCCCGCAGTAACCCCTATTATACTCCCCCTATATAACCTCCTTTAAGCAATTTAAACTATGGCGCATATGGTTATAACTGAATGGATTCTACACCTGCAAGGGATAGTATGTTGGATTTGGGGTCAATGGTCTATGGAGATAGGCTTTAAGGCTTCAGGCTTATAGGGTTGAGCTTTCAAGGTTCCCTACTATGTATGTACAGTACTACAGATGTGTATTATGGTAACCTACTTTTAATTTCTCAGTAACCCCCCTAAGGGCGTGTGGCTTCCTGAGGGGGAACAGGACCGCGCTCATCCACCACTGCTACATAACCCCCAGGACCTAAACCGTTTGGCCCACCCCCCCACCCACGAAACGTCAGCATGAACCGTTATTTCAATCAGTAACATACTGGTAGCATGAACACCATGAATTCTCCTGAAATTGGCCCCCAAGTTAGGACGCAACCTAATCCTAAACCCTAAAACCTAAACCCTAAACCCTAAACAGGTCTTTGGAGGATCTTCGGGACTGAGTAAATAGGTTTAGTGACGGGGATATCTGGCGTTGCCATGTGGCTCCTAGGTGACGGCGATGTAAGCATACCCCTAAGGGTCCAAGGACCCAAATAATAGGGTCCCTTTAAAGGGGTGCTAGGGGAATATATATGGTTTAGGGTTTAGGGTTTAATACCCCTACCTAAACCCCCAAAGTATGTAAAATAATGGCCTTCAGGGCTATTATTAATCAACGCAAGACAGAAAGCAGGTCATGATACATACTCGTTGCACCCTGCAATGTATGCAGCTCGTTCGATGATTAACTGGCCAAGGAAGCGTCACCATTACCTTCATTGTCCGAAAACCCGAAATCCACAGAAGCCCCCAAACACTTAAACCTCAATCAGAAATAAAACCCGACCCCTAAACCCCTAACTTACTGGGAGTTAGTAGGGAAGAAGGGAACATATTTTCTGGCGACTATAGGGATTGTATTTCCATATTGCCTACTAACCACCAGTAGGTTGCCCCAAAATCCCCTAAACCCTTAAGCCACAGTAATCCCTAACACCTTACATCCTAAACCCCTAAACCCTCTCCAGCCCTAAACCCTCAAGCCCTAGACCCTAAACCAACACTGGGAGCTCGCACATTTTCAGGGCAATGAACATGCTCGCGAGCCAGAGCGGTTCGTGGCTCATGGTCTGGCGTGGAGTTTAGGGCTTTAGGGGTTTAGGGATTTAGGGTTCAGGGTCCAAGTACCCAAGCACCGGGGTTTAAGGCCGTCTGGATGGCATGCGGCATCAAAATCCCTGATATTCAAGTATTTGGACCCTCTAGGGTATAGTGCGGTATAGGGATCAAGGTATGGAGTTTGGGGCTTGGGGTTCAGGGTTCAGGGTTACCAAGGTGTGTACTTGGAGGTGTAGGGTAATTGCAACTCGGTTATAACTGGTACTTACAACCCAGGTAGAACCGTATTCGAGGACCTATCCAAAAACCCTAAACCCCTATATCCCTAAACCCCAAACCGCTTGCAGGGAGCAAGCTTAGTCTGCCGCGCGCCTGAGAGACTGAAATGCTTTCCAGCTAGCACTAGAAAATAATATAATAGGGGACTACTATAGCTGTGAATTAGGGGGAAACTAGGAGTTTAGAATATGGCGCAGATGAGCTGACCCTCTAACTCTCAATCAACTGGAGGTACGCGGTCTGATCCAGTCAACAATAAACTCTCTTACCCGAAGCCCTAATCGCGTCCTTTTTGAAATTAGGAAGGATGAATCCTCTAAACCCCAAACCCTATAACCTAAACCTAAACCCTAAAAACCCTAAACCTTGAAACCCCATATTCCATCCATCCCTGGGGCTGTCTCAGATCACCACATCACTCAGCCGGTGGAACCCGGTTAAGGGTTTAGGGCAGGCTTAGGATCTAGGGGTCATAGTTTGGGGTTTACAGTTTGGCGCTGAAGGTTGTAGGTTCCCACCTGCTTTCCAGGCTTTTCAGCTACAGTCGGGTGACGGCAAAAGACAGGTTGATTTGATACACTCCCCCAAACCAACGTGGAAACCCATATAGCCCCCTTTTAGAAGGACTGTAGTCTGTATAGGGCCCTCTTTTAGGTTTCCATGTTGGTTTCCGGGAGTGTAGGTTGATTTTGGTTTCGGGTTTTGGTCTCACATTGTGACAGCGCTCCACTATGCCACAAGTTGCCATACCTTACGCTTACTAGCGTGTCCCATTTCTGACTGTAGCGGGTATGGAGCTGTGCCCACGAGATAGTTTGCCCTTGCCCACGAATAGTGCTCACAAGGGATATGCGGTCAATTGTCTTGGGAGGTCCTAAATACTCCCATGTACTAGTTTTGCAATATTGGGCGGGAGCCTAACCCTAAACCCCTCACGTTCGCCAATGTGCTCAACATCCGTGGGCCGGAACCCAAAGTAATTTCCCTGAATAGGGGGCCCCAACATAGATCCGAAAAATACTATAATCTGTCTTCTAGGGACCTTTAAAAAGGTATCCCTAATTTTGTGAAATCCTTAAACCCTGAACCCCATATAACCCCTTATAACCCCCGTTAACTTTAAAGGTAACTTTGGGATACCTCTAGATCTTGTGCACCAAGCAACCAAAGCCAAATCCCCAAAAGAAGAGAGACCCTGACGGAATGCAGGCCGGCAGAACCCAAACAGCCGCTTGTTTCGGCCGCCCCTTGCAGAAGGAAAGCTCGCTCAACCATATGTTTACTGTAGTAAACCCCTCATTAATGAACCCCCCTCCTTAACATGGATTATAAAAGGAATCCTAATATTAAGGCCCTTAAATGGATGGGGCTTATTATTTGCAGTTCTGAGATCCCTCAACCCGGTTCAGGGCTTAGGGTTTAGGGTTCAACCCCAAATCCTTAACCCCAAACTCCCTTACCTTGAACCGGCAATTCCCAAAGCCCTGAACCTCATATGCCACCTGATCCTGTCTCAACTCCTTACATGCCCAGCTTATATGGGGGATTATATAGGGGAGATCATAAGGGTTACTGAGGCGCATACTAGGAGTTCAGGCTGTAGCTCACCTTCACCTAGAGTACTCAACGCGCCACAGCAAAGCGCAACTTCGCCCTTCTACATTCTACCCGGGGTTTAGGATTTAGGGTTTAAGTAAGCCCTTGAACTGACCTGTACCGTTCTCCAAACAAGCAACCCCATGTTGCTTCCTCCTTCGGGCCTAGGTTTGTCTAGGTAAGCCGTTGAGGGTTCAGGGTTTATCATTTAAGGAGTCAGGCACGTTACAAATTCCATACCCATGTTTTGTGTGCATACATATATATCTATATATATATATAGCCCTGCATTATCATTAGCCCTGAACCCTATATGCTCGTTTATGTCCCTATGACGCCCCCTTTACAGGGACCCTGTCCAAACAAACTACGATAATCCACCCACAACTCCAGGAACCTGAATCAATCCTACGCCCCAAACCGTCAACCCCCCTAAACCCTAAACCCTAAACCCCCCCCTAAACCCAAAACCCTAAACCCCACCCTAAACCTTCAAACCCCCCTAAACCCTAAACTCCCTAAGCCGCCATGAACCCTCAACCCTAAACCCCTATAACCACCCCTTAACCCTAAAGCCTTATCTCTCAACCCTGACCCCCCTAAACCCCCCAACCCTAAACCCCGACAACCACCCCCCTTAACCCTAAAGCCTTATCTCTCAACCCTGACCCCCCTAAACCCCCCCCCAACCCTAAACCCCTGTAACCACCCCCCCTTAACCCTTAAGGCCTAAACTCTCAACCCTAAACCCTAAAACCCTAAACCCTAAACCCCCTGACCCCCCCTGTCACAGCATCTGGCCTGCAAAGAGGGCATCTCCTCACCTGGGGGGTGTAGGGTTTAGGGTTCAGGGTTTAGGATTTAGGGCTTGAATATAGCGTTTAGGGTTTAGGGTTTGGGGTTTAGGGTTCAGGAGTTAGGGCTTGAATATAGCGTTTAGGGTTTAGGCTTTGAATATAGGGTTCAGGGCTTGAACATAAGGTTTAGGGCTTAGGGTTTAGGGTTTGAATATAGCGTTTCGGGTTTGAATATAGGGGCCTGCTTGGAACAAGTAGGGTTTAAGGGTTTAGGGTTTGGGGTTTAAGGTTTGGGGGTTGAATATAGGGGCCTGCATGAAACGAGAAGGGTTTAAGGTTTACGGACTACCTTGGAGAATTTGTTTGGAAAAAAGAATAAGGTAATCCTAAACCCTAAACCCTGAATTCTAAACCCTAGACCCTAAAACCGCGTAATGGTGTAGGAATTTAAGGTTTTGGGTGTTGGAGTTTAGGGTGCGGAGGGTATTTCAGATGCTTTGGCATGATTAGGCGGTTTAGTGCTTAGGGTTTAGGTTCAGGTATAGATCGAGTTTGAGTATACAGGATTTAGAGGGTTTAGGGCATGTAGGGTTAGGGATTACGTAGGATTAAGCAGGCTTGTGCGGTTGGTGGTTGATGCCAAGACAGGGTGTGAGGGCCTTAGAGCTTGTTAGGGTGTGGGGTGTAGCTTCAGGGTGAAGGGCTCAATGCTCTGGGTTATGGAGTTAGGGTTTAGGGTTCGGGTCCGGGGCTTAGGATTTAAGGTCTGGGGTTTACTCTAAGCATACTACTACTGGGGGATTACCATGTACTAGGAACCTTACATAAGCCTTCTATACCCATTATCTATCTCCCCATTGTCCCTATATACCCCTTTCCTTTTATACCCTTTATATAGAATCCCCCAGCAAACTCCCATCTTCTAGCTGGTCCTAATTAGAGTTTAAGGGCCCAGGAGATCCTATAAACGTTTTTGCTTTGAAGCAGCAGGCATGAAGCGGAAACAAGGGCACAAGGGAGCTTCCGAAAATGAGAGATCCCTTATTCGCGACCTAGAATAAGGATTATCGTATATTTGGGTCTAAATTGGATGGGGTGTCCCCCTACTTACGGAAAGTAGCAAAAGGCCGTACAACAGATTTTCAAAAGTTGATGCCCGCCGCACGAAGCCCTGAGCCCTAAAGTTTGGGGTGCAGGGTTTAGGCCATCCTGTCTTCCCCAATGAACCAGTGCTAAAAAGTTCAAGATCTGTATATATATATATATGGTAGCCCCCCCCCCAAGATCTACGCCTAACCTGTTTTATCTTCATGAATGCTTCATGTGCCATCTTCGTGAACATATTGTATCAGCCGAAAACACTGTAAATAGCGATGAATCCTATACTTTTGAATGAAATTAGTCATAT